GACCTTGTGATTCGCTCGCCTTGGCCTCCCAGAATTCTGGGATTGCAGGTGTGAGCCACTGCACCCGGCCAACTAATGTAATTTTTGAGGAGGAATAATTGATAGCATGTTATAAAATAAAAGGTACTTTTACTCTGACTTGCTAATAAAAATTATCCTACAAATATGCAATTCATAAATGCACAAAGCTCTAGATACAAGGTTGTTCCTAAGAATTGTTTGTAACAGCCAAAAAAGGGTCCATTAATGAAGACTGTTAAACAATGATAGACCCATGCAATGAAGAATGAGATGGCTACATATATTGATATAAAATGTTCACATCATATTGTTAAAGAGGCAAACCGAAGAAGAGTATATAGAGTACATTTCCTTTTACATGAAGAAGATATAAATTAGCTTATATATGCATAATAATGCTCTACAAGGAAACAGAATTTTTGTGATTGTTACCACTGAAAATGTAGGGAGGGAAACATTGCCTTTTACTGAATTCTCTTCTGTAACGTTTAAAAATTTTACCGTGAACATATATTACTTTTAAATTAAAAAAGAAGGAAACAAAACCTTAGTTAAAAATTTAAACAGCAAATAAGAGGCATTATAATATTTCTGAAATTAGTTTTAAAAACTAAGTAAGTTATTATCTTAAAAGATGAACTTTCCTTTGCAACTGTTAGTTACATCACTAGGTGATTCCTCCATAAGATGAAGGAGTTTCTCCATTATTTTATTTACCTAGTGCTTAGTAATGCTTATTTTATGACAGGTTATTTTAAGTGCATTAATCATTGTATGATTATGGGTGGTTGTTATTGTTATCCCCACATTACAGATAAGAAAATTGAAGCACATAGAGGTAAAATAGCTAGTCACATAGCTAGTAAGCTCTAGAGCTGAGATTCAAACTTTGGACGTTTGACTCTAGAGAATCCATACCTTAACCATGCTTTGTTTCTTCTTGAAGTCTTTTTGCTTTTTGTTTTTTTTGGGACGAAGTCTCACTCCATCGCCCAGGCTGGAGAGCAGTGACACGATCTCGGCTCACTGCAACCTCTGCCTCCCAGGTTCAAGCGATTCTCCTGCCTCAGCCTCATGAGTAGCTGGGATTAGAGGTGTCTGCCACCATGCCCAGCTAATTTTTGTATTTTTAGTAGAGATAGGGTTTTGCCATGTTGGCCAGGCTGGTCTTGAACTCCTGATCTCAAGTGATCTGTCCACCTCGGCCTCCCAAAGTGCTGGGATTGCAGGCATGAACCACTGCACCCAGCCATGCTTCTTGAAGTCTTTAGAAATTTTTACCATAGTCTACCTGGGTGATCTAATTATATAACCTGCAAAGGGGCTCATATCATATACCCCAAACTCTTTCTAGGATACCTCCAGGTCAAACCTATCCACTTTTCTGATCTTTTGCAGGATCTAATGGAAAAACAAGATGCTATGAGGGAACAAGACTGGGTCTTTTTGCACGTGGAGTAATAACAGGGCCTTCTAACAGCTCTCAAGTTCGACACAAAACCTCAACACAGCATAACAGCATATCTTTGTTGAAACATTCTTCTTAATTGCTGTCTTTAAACCTAAAAGGGCTGATCTCAGGCAACTGTGGGGTAAAATGTGGCTGATCCATCAGCCAGTAGAAAATAAGGTTAAGCCAAGAAGGACTGCCATGGAGATGGAAAGCTGAATTATTTGGCTGAATTCCTATATTTTCAAAGTGATGTCAAGGTGAAGATATTTTTTAGCTGCAGAGGCACAAGAAGACATGCTTTATCACCTAAACTTGTTGACAGTGAACATGTTTTTTGTGTTTCTTGTTTAGCATTTTCCTCAAGGGTTATGTCAAGCTAGGTCAGGGTTACTTTTTCTAACCCTGAAAGTGAAGAGATTGATGAAATGATGGGCCCTTGTTGATGGTAAATCGGACACTAAAGTTATCTCATGGGTTATCCCCTATGGCTTTTGATTGCCTTTTATTCTAACAAAGTTGCTATTGAAAACTTTCTCCACGTACAGGCAGGTTCTTTGAAGGGCTAGTGGGCATCCCAGCTGCCATACTTGCTAAGGAAGGTTGATTACTGAATCTTCATTGGTCACTGAATAGCACTGTGTAAGGCATTCTGAGATGTTCCATTATTCCTGTTGGTTTGGGACTGAATGCACAATTCTATGTAAGGAATGGGTTGTTTATATTTTCAGTGGACCATCGTGCACTGTAGAGGCTGCCTGGTAAGGGATATGATATACTACAGCGCTGCCATAAGCGGAGGAATGCCCAGCACAGGAATAAAAACATGTGAGGAAGGCCGTGCCTGGAAAACGTTATGTCAGACAAGGCCTGGGCACTAGGAGAGGTTTTCATTACCTTTCTTTTGTTGTTGTTGTTGTTTTTGAGACAGAGTTTTGCTTTTGTTGCCCAGGCTGCAGTGCAATGGTGCAATCTCTGCTCACCGCAACCTCCGCCTCCCGGGTTCAAGCGATTCTCCTGCCTCAGCCTCCCGAGTAGTTGGGATTACAGGCATGCGCCACCAAGCCTGGCTAATTTTGTATTTTTAGTATTTTGTAATTTTGTATTTTTAGTAGAGACAGGATTTCTCCATGTTGGTCAGGCTGGTCTCGAATTCCTGACCTCAGGTGATCCACCTGCCTTGGCTTCCCAAAGTGCTGGGATTACAGGCGTAAGCCACCACACTCAGCCTCATTTTTAAGAGAAGGGGCTTCACTCTGTCACCCAGGATGGAGTGCAATGACATGATTTTGGTTCACTGCAGCCTCGATTTCCCAGGCTCAAGCGATCCTCCTGCCTCTGCCCTAAGTAGCTGGGACTACAGGTGCATGCTGCCACACCTGGCTAATTTTTTTTTTTTTTTCTAGAGACAGGTTTTTGTCATGTTGCCCAGCCTGGACTTGAACTCCTGAGTTAAGATGATCCATCCTCCTCGGCCTCCCAAAGTGCTGGGATTAGTGTGAGTCACCACACCTGGCCAGTTTTCATTACATTTGATTAGAGATGGGGACCTGTAATCCTATGTTGATCCAATTTTTCAGTTTAGAGAGACTGTTAGGGAACTCAGCTCTCTGGTCACTTTGTAAGCTAACTACCTAAACAGTGAGAGACATACTAGATAACCTTAGATGGTACCAATCTGTGTGAAGATCTGTAATGGCATAGACAAAGTGCCGGGAACTAAAGGTTCTCTTCTGGTGAAGGAGTCATAGTCTGACTTAATTGCCAATGAAAATATAATTTGGCAATAACATCTTGATCTAGAGGTGTGCTGTTCAATGTGGTAGCCACCAGTCACATGTGGCTATTTAAATAAACTAAAATTAAATAAAAAGTTCAACTCCTCAGTCACCCAAGGCACATTTCAATTGTTCAACATTAATACGGTAGCTAGTGGCTATCATTAAGGACAGTGAAAATTCGTGAAACATTTCTATCATTGTAGAATGTTCTATTGAACGGTGCTGATTCAAGAGAGAAACAAAAAGTCCTCAAAGATACTCTGTCAAGAGACAATATCTTGTTGGGTTGATTGACCATACCAGATAGCTCATATCTAATTTTTATTCTGAACCACTAGAGATTTGAAATAGAAAGGGAATAAGATCTTAAGAGTTTGGTGTGAAGAGTGAAGCTTATTTTTTCAGTAAAGACACCTTCTGTTAGGGGCTTACTATGGATAATGGTCATAAGCCAGGAGGTGACACAGAATGTGATGCTTTGAAGTCGGGGCTTCCTCTGATTAAGAGTATGTGACCTCACTGGGCAGAAGGAAGTGGTCAAAGGTACTTTTGATACATGCACAAGAAATGAGTGTGGCTTCACTTTTCTTGAGTTTTCTGGAATTTCCCTCAGTTTCTGACCTCCTTACCTTTCTGTATCGAATTAAATTGGTAAAAATAGGTTAGGCATCCTAAGAAAAGCATGAAACATAACACCCCTTTCTGGCTTAAGAGATTCTCAATGCCTTCCTCAAAAGGAGAGTAATTCTTTTATTAATGCTGTTTCGTGTGTGTATTAGTCCATTTCACACTACTATAAAGAACTACCTGAGACTGGGTTATTTATAAAGAAAAGAGGTTTAATGGACTCACAGTTTCACACGGCTGGGTAGGCGTCAGGAAACTTACAATCATGGCAGAAGGCAAAGGGGAAGCAAGGCACATCTTACATGGCAGCAGGAAAGAGAGTGAGGGTGGAACCGCCCAACACTTTTAAACAGTCAAATCACATGAAAACTCCCTCACTATCATGAGAACAGCATGGGGGAAACCACCCCTATGTTCTAATCACATCCTACCAGGTCCCTCCCTCAACATGTGAGGATTACAATTCCAATGACATGTTGGTGGGGACATAGAGCCAAACCATACCAATGTGTCTCTAAAACTTTAAAAGGCATCAAGGAGAGGGAAATGAAATTAAGGGAAGACTTACTTATAATAGTGCAGGATGTCTCTGGTGGCTTGTAGCACAGGGATGCATCTAATCATTTTCAACAGTCTGAAGAAACATTTGGTTGCCCCCTCCCGCCCAAGTCCTTTGATACGGACTTATGAACTGAGGAATTATGAAGCAATGAAGACTGCTTGGGGTCTTTATCTAGCCTGACATCTAGGGCCTAGGTGTCAGGATGCCAAAGAAAATTTATCAGAGATTAAGGTGTCTCTCATGGAAATTATGAAGTAGGTTAAGACAGATGTTAAGAGGAGGAGGTCGTCATTCATAGCACAGCTAGAAAGATTAGAAAAGAGACTGTTAGATACAGCCAAGAGTTGTCTCTGGTAAATATAATGAGGGCAGTTTCCATGAACTGATGAGACAATTAGGAGGGTGGCTACAGGGAATGAAGAGGGAGTTTCCAGGGCAGCAGTGAAAACATGAGCTCTGGACCTTGTTTAGTCTTGGATATTTCACCATCCTCTCACAAAAGTAAACACTCTGGTACCCAGTAAATACCTGATGAATGAATCTTTGGGAAAGAAAATCATTGAATGCATAAATTCCTTTATTGAAAATATTGGGATAGCACTGCATTACATATAGTCAATATCCATAAATGAAGGGTCACACATTTTTGAATGGACAATACTGTTTTACATAGAGAACACAGCATGTGGATATGCTCTCACAATTATAGTATCATGGACTAAACTAGGTCAGAGTGAAGTATATGCAAAATGACCATTTTGTTTTTTTCCATTTTATTTATTAATAGCATATGGTTGCAGATGGTGTAAATGGTAAACGTGATATCATGAGACATTCCTGATATCTCACACCAACACATTATTTAGCGAGCAGGCTAAGGTGAAACTGTCAGTATGCTGTTAGTCAAGAGTCTCAGTAGGAGAGCTTGAGTGAAACGTACGCCCAGGCTACAGATTTAAAATTTTCTAGCATTCATTTACATTTGCATGGAATGTAAGGAATATAATAATTGTTGATCTGACAGGAGGCCACTGGACAATTTGTTCTCTTTTACAAATTGTCTAAAATAGGAGAATAATGTAAAGGAAATATTCTAAGAATTGTTTTTTTAAATGCGGATATGCAAATAGTACTCGTTATAAATTTTTTCCTTTCAAAAATTACCGGGGAAATAATTTATGACAGACCATTTTTCAGCTTTGGCTGTTATTAGAATTTTTTTCCTACTAGCAAGCAGTCTTTGGCTTTCATAAAAGTCTGGTAATCAATAATATTGGTTAGGTCTTTATTATTATTATTGTTATGATTTTTGAGACAGAGTCTTGCTGTCACCCAGGATAGAGTGCAGTGGCACGATCTTGGCTCACTACAACCTCCACCTCCCGGGTTCAAGCAATTCTCCTGCCTCAGCCTCCCAAGTAGCTGGGATTACAGGCACCCGTCACACACCCGGCTAATTTTTGTACTCTTAGTAGAGACGGGGTTTCACCATGTTGGCCAGACTGGTCTCAAACTTGTGACCTTGAGTGATCCACCTGCCTCGGCCTCCCACAGTGCTGAGATTACAGGCAAAAGCCACCGTGCCCGGCCCTTTATTTTATGTAATAGATGTTTTATGATGTGAAAATAAGTTGATATCTTAAAAATAGGGTTTCCTTTCTATTCCAATTTTGATATGAATGCATTTCTTTGTATTTTTTTCCTCAAATAAATGAATCTACAAACCAAGACAACTGGTCCAATTTGACGTTTTTCATTTGATTTTAAAAATGCAGAAATTAATATACTGAGTCTCTTTTAAGACAGAGGCCTGCTCATTAATGTAAAAGCTTGGAAAAGTTATACAAAGAACATTCCGAAAATAAAGTTTTTGTTATTAACACACATGATTTTATAAGAAGCAAAACATTTTCTTTTTTCAAAAGCAGGATTTGTTCTAAGTCTAGGTTCACAAAGGTATTCATTTCTATAAATATCAACTTAAGACTGTGAGAAATGATGTATTCTTTTTCACACGAATATGTTCAAGGTAAGTAACTAAAAATGTACCCTTTTATTGACTAAATGGAAAGCTGGCCTATAATAGTCAAATTGATGAACATTCATAATGAGTTTTTAGAAATTTAGAATTATACACTCATATATATGTATATGTACATATACATACACACACACATATATCTTTATATATCCACATACAGATACATAGATATATGCTGCTTAAGACCTATCACCCTAAACAATCAGGGCAAAAAAAAAATTCAATATAAAACTATATAAATCAAACAGATTTGTTCCCAAAACATAGCACAAAATGTATACATTTAATATTTCAAGATTTGACACATTAAAAGAAAAAAAACCTGCTGACACATTTCAGACAATACACTACAAATAATAAATAAAAGTTTTTTTTTTTTTTAAAAAAAACTTCATATATTCCCTTTAAGTGCTGTGCACTTACAATTTTTCTAAATGAGACTAACCTTTTCCATGGCAAATAATAGCTGTACATTTTGGTAATGAAAATTATGCTGATAAATACACAAGGCATGTATATATCCACAGTATCTTTTTTTTCACAGTTACCAAAAATAAAAATTGCATTCAACTCATATATCCATAAACACTCTGATTCCTCACCGTATGGATTTGAAGGAAGTGGAAGTACAAAGTCTTTTCAACAACCTGGATTTTCAGTTTCTTTCTTCAGTGTCTGCCCTCCACGTGGACCTTCCAGAATCTTTCTGCAATGTGATCATGCTCTGAGATGATGGCAAAAAGGAAGCATTGGGGTGGGATGAGGCAACCTGGGCTGGGGCTTCTTTTTCCAGCCAGCTTTAGGAGGGCTGGTCGAACCCAGTCTTTTAAATGTTATATTTTAAGGCAGTCTGAATTTCACTCAAATGCCCACACCTCCAGATCTTGAACTATGAAGTCTTCCTTTTTGGAAAGAATATCATTATTGAAAGTGCTGCAAGAGTTGCTTCGTCCATGGTATAAATCAGCATCTAGCCATAAACCAAATCGTCCCCTGAAAAGGTTAAAAAAAAAAAAAAAAAAGAAAAAAGAAAAAAAAAACCCCCCCAAAAATAAAAAAAAAAAAAAAAAAAGGTGAAAATACTTCTATCTTACATGGCACATGGCACACTGTTCTCTCTTGCCCCCATCTTCTTTCCTTTATACTGTTGACAGGCAAAATTCCTAACTGCTTATAAAACCAGGATACATTTCCTTTATTTCATTTAAATGACTAGTCTTTCTAAAAGACAAGTGGTAACAGTCCCTCATTTAGACACATAAATATTCTATCTTTGATTCTTTGTGTCATGTGTTAGGCCACTGTCCTAATTCCTCTAAGCACATGGACTAGCTAAAATAACCTGACACCGAAGTTTTAACTACGTGGGTCAAAACAGACCCACTCAGGTCAGGTGGTAAAATAACAATAAGAAAACAAAAACAACAAAAACCTTACCCTCCACCACCAAGTTCTAAAGAACTTATGTCTCCATTGATAAAATATGAATTTTCTCCACTCCACTTAAAGACCTTGGGGAAGAAACACAAAAAAGAAAACAGACATTTTAATCTGGAGAATTAGCAATGAGGAAATATGAAATGGTATCTATGTGTAAAAGGGAACCACCTCACCCCATTGACTGAGGAAGTTCCTGACTGCCAGACCTGGCCCACACCAGGATGAGACCTCCCAAGGGGTTATGAACATGAACGAAGGAAGACCTTTCAGACATGTGGTGTCTCTGACCTGTGACTCTCTGGATCCCAGCCTGAGCAGCCCAGAAGGCCAGGACCCCAAGCAGTTTGTGAGCTACAGTTATAAAGGGCTGACCCAGCTTGGAGTCAGTTCAGGAGAAGTTACAGGACAGCTAACTGCCCCAATGCCTATCCCCTTCCCCAACTGCGGACACTGTGACATATGGGAGTGGGATATTTCTCCTATCTAGGTACCTTGAAATGTGGGCTGAATGTGTATAGAAAAGTTTCGCCTGTGCCATAATAGTGGTCACTGAACTTGAAAGGATGAGTTGCATATGCTCCAAAAATCTGTCAAAAGAAAACAGAAATGTTACCTACATTCAAACCTAAATCCCCAAAGCAAGGCTTTCTGGAATATTTTCGATACATCATGTTCTGAGATCTATTTCAGCAAAGACTATTACTAAACTGGCACTCAAACTTAAAAAGACCACCAATAAAAGAATAAACAAATATCGCCAGCCCTAACTGGAACCCAAGTAGCCAGCATTCCTGATGCATGCAAAATTCATCTGACAAAGCTCAGACAACTTGCTTGCCAAAGGCTAACAATTTGTTCCAATTTTAAAAGATTTCCAAAGTTCACTATGGAGACAAATTTCTGTTATTGAATATGCGTAACATAATAGAAACATTAAGCAACAAGATACATCTTATGCATAGAAATGAATGCTTGGGAAAACATAGTCACATCTCTTCTGTATTTTATAAGTGGAGTCATGCTGGGCATTTCCCCAGAGAAAATGAACTTTCCTTTCTTTTGATTTGTAACAATGAGTTATTAATATGCTTATTCAATTAAAATTATATGCTTAAAAATGACCGATTTACTATAGTTTAGTTCACAGTGATGTTTAAGAAACAAATAACTCCGTAATATCATGGCCTTGAAAGGTAACTTAGATGTGTTTAAATCAATGGTTCTTGTACTTTTTCTTGTCGGGGTTGGAAGGGGAGCCAGGCTACAGGAGGAGCACTGTTTTCAGAATGTGTCCGCCCACAGCCTCAGCATCTCATCCTTCTGTTCACATCCTGATCAGCACTTGCAGGGGTGAGCATATGTATTTTGAAAATGTCCCTAGGTGATTCAGACATTCTTCCTATTTCAAATCCCATTTGAGGAACATTGCTTTAAATGTAGGTTATCTGGAAAATGTCATAGCATTTTTAAAAAATTATTTCAATTAGATCACAATCTCTGCTGCCTTTTTCACCACTTACACTCAGTTCCTGGCTACTTGTAACACCTAAGTATTAGGTAGAAGGCTAGAAACTCTTTCTAACCAGTATTGTTCATACTTCCTGCTACCAAACCTTTCCCTAGAGCTGCTAAGAATAAAGAAATATAGCACAGTAACAAAACATAAAAAATACTTTGCCCTCCTTCTGGTGATCGTCCAGAAAAAGAACTAAAATACAATCAAAATAGGCATCTATTTTTTAAAGCATGGCATTAAAATATGACAAAAATGGCAGTGGCCATACGTGGAAGAAAATGAGTCCCTCTCTGATCAGTCAACAAGGAAAGTTATCTTTATTTTCACACCCTTCATAGAATTTTAAATAATTATTTTCTGTCTTAGCTAAAATTCTCCACCCCCCTGCTTTTTTTTTTTTTTTTTTTTTGAGATGGAGTCTTGCTCTGTTGCCCACGCTGGAGTGCAATGGTGCGATCTCGGCCCCTCTGCCACCTCCGCTTCTCAGGTTCAAGCGATTCCCGTGCCTCAGCCTCCTGAGTAGCTGGGATTACAGGCACACACCACCAAGTCTGGCTAATTTTTGTATTTTTAGTAGAGACGGGGTTTCACCATGTTGGTCAGGCTGGTCTTGAACTCTTGGCCTTGGGTGATCCACCTGCCTTGGCCTCCCAAAGTGCTGGGATTCCAGGTGTGAGCCACCACACCTGGCCTTATAGCTAAAATTTTCTTAGCAATTCTGGAAATGCATTTAAAGACTAAGGGCTGGATGATATCAGGGAATTACTGTTAATTTTGTTAGATCTATTGCATTGTGATTATGAGAAAATCTTTTTTTCTATTAATGTATTTAAAAAGAAATTATATAAAACAACTTTTATATAATAGTGCTGTTCAGCCTATACCATGTATTACATTTTATTACACATAAAAATGTAATACATTTAGCAATAGCAGAACAAAGGAATCCAAGGGAATAGATGACGAGTAACCCAGAAATGATAAAAGGAAAGTCATATAACAAAACATATAAATGTACATTTGCTCTCCTTTCTTCTCTCAACTTCCTTAGCAGACATAAAATTATGTAACATAGTAATCATAACAATCTATTGCTATATTTGTAGTATATACAGATGTAACATGCATAACATTAGTACCACAAAAAGTTAAAAGATGTAGTAGAGCAAAATAGGAGCAATATTTCTATACCTCACTAGAAGTTAGTACTTAGTCTCTATTAACTGCCTGATGATTGTTCTATCGTTTTCAACAATGCCTGGTGGTATACATTATTCTGCAGTCTGATTCAATTAAATGTAGGTTCCTTTGCATGGACAGTTTCTTTGGTCAGAGTATGAAGTTTACCCTGAATCCAGAAAGGCTCTCCTTAGCTGTCTCTTTTCTTGGATCTCTCTGGTAAAGTAGATGGTCTACAGTTGAATTTGTTGCCTTCATGGCTACAACCTTCTTCTTAACACCAAAATTCTCATTGTTTTCTAGAGTGCCCTTTGGTTTGAACTTCTCCATATGTGTCTAAACAAAGTCAGTTCCTTTGGGTAGAGCTTTAGAACTCTATGTCCTGTGGCCTGCCTCTTCCCCTGGGAAAAAAATCTCTAACCCACTGCTCTGAAGCTAGGGACTAGACAGCGACAGTAGCCTCTGGTCTTGGCTTGCCTCATCTGGTGCAAAACTTCTGCCCTGTGAGCTGAAACAAGAGCAGTAGAGACCCCGGTATTCTCAGCCTGCCATGCCTACGGTAGAGCATGGCTCTGTGAGTGGAGGGTGGGTAGAAGAAAGCCCCCTACCTCTAGGCCACACTTGCTTGGATTTTAGACTCAGAAACACAGACCTTGGGTGGGAGATAAGAAATGCAGAGGACCCGCAGTGAGAGAGGTACACATAACCCTTGACTGGCAGCTGTGGGAAGAGAGTGCCCCATCTTCTTGGCCACACATGCCCAGAGTGGAACCACTGTCAGTCTCAGCGAGGGGTTAGGGAAGGGAGAGGGTTGTGCCTCAAGTGCCACAGAATCCCACTGTTATAACTAAGATTAATTCAATTTTCTTGAATAAATATTCCCTCATTTGCTTAGAATAATTTCTAGAGACTTTAAGTGATTGTTGTTTTTGTTATTTCTACAAGCTATGGTTCTTTCACTTTTATATTAGAATTTCATATAATTCATTTTCAGACACATTTGCAGGTGTTGTTCTATCATGTTCTCACACACAGCAAAGCCACAGTTTCCCCTTCAGGGTAGATGGGGTGCAGAAGCAAAGTTAGTGTCTGGTTGTCCTCAAATAACACAAGTGCCCCCAGGGTACATGACTCAGCAAGACTCCACCCAGTGACAAGACTGTAACCTTCAGTTGTAGGCCTCCTTTACAAACCTCACAGGAAGCTTGGTAAAACTGTGCTTCATCAATACCTGTTCTGTGTGAACCATCACATTCCTCAACAAGTGTGATATTTTGGTAAATAAACAGGACAAATAATCTATACTTAGGTGAGAGTCTGTATGTGTGCTCTAAGATAATATAGCCATACTTCATCCAAAACATAACATCCAATTCTTAAACATCTCACTAAATTCCTAAGTCCCTTTTAAACCAAATGTTATCATTATTTTAATTTGTTTATCTTGACTCTACCCACCTTTCAGTTTGGATCATTATTAAGCAAAATGTCAGCAATCAGGAAGTAACAATAGTAACAATGACAGCTAAATTAATTCCCACAACTCTTAAGCTACAATAATATTACAATAAAGTCACAAAGATCACTGTTAAGAAAGACAGTATCTTTGGTACCCCCATTTGTTCCCTAATTTTTCCCAAGACAAATTCTGACAGCAAAGTTCTATTTCCCATAAAATGATCCCATGTATATGGCTCATTACAATGTGGATATGTCTCAGTATAAAAATTTTGTGCTTCACAGTAAGCTCCCCAATGCTTAATAGTGCCTAGCACCTAGCAGGCACTAATCAGATATTTGCTGAATGGACGAATAAACGAATGAATGAATAAATGTTGAGCAAAATCTGCTTCAATGCCAGAAAATGTGGTCAATGCCACATCTTAAAATCTTAAGTCAAACTGAAATGAGCAATGAGCAGATGTGAACGGTGCCTTCCTTTCGTGATGGAAGAGATTGACTGGGAAGTGATTGAAAAAAACCTGGACAGATTCCACTCACATTCTGAGCTTACTTGCGGGAAGAGATAACAGTGTAGGGACACAGGGGTAATAACTAGTTTTCACTAGTTCCTCCAAGAAAGACCAACTGTAACACAGGCAAAAGTACAATCAAGAATGGTACAGTGCATTTTCTGTGGTTTCTTAACAACTGGGCCCCTCAGGCACAGCACACTATGGCCTTGACTGGCTCTCCATCATATCCAAAACTCAGGCAAGGTTTGTGGGCACTACTTTGGCTACCCGGGAAAGGAGCTGGTATGGCACTGGAACTTATTTCTGCAACTATTTCCAAATCCAGATCTCACTCTACCCCAACTTTCCAGATTTTAGGCTGTAGGATATCATAAAGCTCCTTAGAATGTGACTGTATTTGGAAGTATGAACCATTTTCATTTTGGAGATGATTCTGAAATATGTAAGGGTGGAAGGCCATAATGATTGGGATTTACTTCAAAATATTTCAACAGAGAAAAAACAAGGATAAAAAAAGACAGAGAAGGCAAAATCCTGTTAACTGTGGAATGTGGGTGATGGAAGTATACGGTACTAGTCTCTCTACTGTTGGGAATTTTGAAAAATTATCATTAAAAAATATTCTTTATGAGAGGGACAGGCCTCACCTGATTATCCATATCTTTGATGACCAATAGGACAGGACTGTCTAGTGATGCCGATTTCCGGTAGAGCGTCTTCAAGCTGGTCCCATGCTCTAACGTGCTATAGGCCAGTCTCCATGGATACCCTTGCACCCTTGCAGGAAGGCGTCGGGCCAGCTACAAAGCCAAAGGAAGAGATGTAAACAGAAGGTTCATACACAACTTGCTCATGAACATGTGGCACAAAACAAACGCCTGTCGTTCAAATTCAGTGTCATACACTTACATAGTGCCCCTCCTTACTCTGGCAAATATTTGCTATTCTAAACCAAGAAAATGATTGTTTGACAGTGTTTACCTTGGCAAGGATACTGCCCAGGAGGTGTTTTCCCATTCAGGGACATGAGTATGGAGTCCCTATCCTACTATATATTTGAAGATGCAGAATAAGCGGGATAAAGAGGTATAAACTAGACACACGCCGTTCTTTTCCACTTCAACCTGGCTTTTACAAAACAGTTCATATTTTCTGAAGTTTTCTTTCTAAACACTCAGAGGCTCAGAACTGCTACTGACAACTGCAGCTTTGCACAGAAGTGAGGGCAAAAAACCAGGGACGTTTAGTGTTAGAAGTCAGGTGTCATCTGTTCTTATTGCACCAATATCTTTCACCTGCATCAATATTTAAACTTGGCCATAAATAACCAATAATGGATATCTCTTCAAGAATATTACCAAAGGAGGCCATGAAGTGCTGAGTCTTCAGAGTGCTTAAAATCAGTTCCAGTGTCAGTGTGAATCCCCCATCTCTATAATTACTGGGTCAAGCTTCTTGGCTTTCTTGGGTCTTTCGTGGTTCCTCGGTAAACTTGGGAGCTGAACTTAAGGATTCTTTAAGGTCTTTAAAATTCATGTCTCTAAGCTGACTGGTGAGGGAAATGCCAGAGGTTCCTTACTACAGTTCAAACATAAGTGCATTATAATATTTCATACATTTCAAGTAAACATTCAGAAACTATGAAGTACACAAAGAAAATTATAGAAAAAGGAAAAATTATCCACAGGTAGGTATTTTTCATAAAGCAAACAGTGTATTTGCTATTTTACTTTTATTGAGCCCGATACATCAAAGCTATTGGAACTCTGCAATAATTACGAGGATAAATTTGGATCCTTTAAAAAGTGTATTAGGACTATGGTAGGACACTGACAATTTTTATTTTTTTAAGATTAGAAATGGCTTTTCCTTCATGTTTGAGAGAAGGATGTTAGTGTCTGACCAACTCCTCGTACTACCAAGAAGGCAGCAGGAAATGCAACTTTTCAGAGGCAGAGCAGGGGGCACTGGCCTTAGTGGGCTGCTGGCGTTCCTCCTTCCTCACAAGCCTAATCCTTTAGCCCAAGTGAGAAGGGCAAATGCATTCAGGGATGGGAATTTTTTTTTTTTTTTTTGAGACAGAGTCTCACTCTGTTGCACAGGCTGGAATGCAGTGGTGCAATCTCGGCTCACTGCAACCTCCACCTCCCGGGCTCAAATGATTCTCCTGTCTCAGCCTCTTGAGTAGCTGGGATTAGAGGCGTGCGCCATCACACCCAGCTAATTTTTGTATTTTTAGTAGAGATGGGGTTTTGCCACATTGGCCAGGCTGGTCTCAAACTCCTGACCTCAAGTGATCCGTCTGCCTTGGCCTCCCAAAGTGCGAGGGTGACAGGCGTGAGTCACTGCGCCTGGCCAAGGAAAATATTTCTAAAAGCCTAGGAAGCTCGACCCTTGGTGGCCAGCGCGAGCCCACCTGCTCGATGTGCATATTCTCCAGGAGCGCACTGTGGGGCCGTAGGACAGGCAGCACCTCCTCATCCTCGTCTTCATAGTAGCTGCACGTGCTCTTCCTGCGCTTTGCCTCCTCAACAGTGATGATCTGAAATGAGAAAACAAGCCAAGAGAAATAACTTACTGGCTTTTCTTCTAACCGCTAATAAAAAAAATCACTCCAGGGACACCGCTGCCTGAAAACATGGCACTTCAGCAACAGGAAATCAGCTGAACAGGACTTTGGGGAAATGGCTAATTTTTCAGTTTCAGAACAAATGAACAATTTAAGACAGTACAGTCGAGGCAGTTAATATGTATAAATTAAAGTCACAAGTCACAAGGCTAAACATGGTGGCTCATGCCTGTATGCCCAGCACTTTGGGAGGCCAAGGCAGGAGGAAGATGGCTTGAGCCCAGGAGTTTGAGACCAGCCTGGGCAACATGACAGGACCCCATCTCTATATAAAAATAAAATAAATAAAGTCACGAGTTTTCCAGTTTTACTATAGCCGCTGATTGCTCGATCACTGAGAATAGTATTTAACACCAGAAGTACAGCTTTCTACCTTTGAAATGCCCTAAATGATTCTCCTTTAGCCTTGAGATTTAGCATCTGAATTTTTGAAGGACTAATCAGAGATCATTCAGTAAGACTTCTATACATAGGGAGTTTGCAATGATAAGGCTAGTTTTTAATCAGGTTCCTGATATTTTCTCGTTAGGTTGTACACATAGAAACCACTTCCGTTAGAAATAATGAATGATAACAGCTCCCGGGAGCACGAGTACAAAGAAATGTTAAGCTTTAGTCTAAATTACAACTAGGTTACAATTATTTATGTACCGTTCAGAGATGATAAAAATATTCTCCCCTTCTAAACCCAGAAACATCATATTGTACAAAACGTTTATTATTTAACTATAGCTATGCTTATGAATTATCAAAGTTCATTTTACCCTAAAATCCATTTTTGGCCCTTCTTAAATTATGGATAAATCACTGGATTATTTTTAAATTGAAGGATGTATGTTAGGCTTCTTGGCCTTTTGTGTAAGATCAAGTGAAGGATTATATTAGACAACTAATTCACCAAAATTTACTAGTATTAATTGTTTTGCATTATAGAGAAAAACATTTAAGTTAAATCCAGTGCAAGTCGTCAGGCAGTAGTGTATTACTCAATTTCCAATATGCACAATGACAGATACAAAGTACCCGCTGGCGTCTGAGCCAGATTTACAAGTAAGAAAATTAAGCTTACTAATTTTACCATCTTCTGGGGGAGTGTTTCCGTAGTGAAAACACTATCAAGAATCACAAACCAAGCATGTAAATGAATGAAATAAAACACTCTGTTTTTGGCAAACTTTGTATTTATCACAAGTATAAAATGAGGCTGTGGAATGAAAAAAAATCAAATATGGATTTCTGGCTGCAACAAGAAGAGGCAGCCACACCATAACCCTCTCCACAACGAATAAAATACCTGCTGGTGAAATGACAGCACAATCCTTTCTAATTCGAACGACTTTCAAAGCAGACTCGGAGGCAGATCACTGAGAATTCACCAGCACCTTATTAGTCCTCGGGACACACTCCAACATACCTTCACAAAAGGCTCTTCGTCAGGTCTGGCACAGTAGAAAATCTGGATGTCCAAGGATAATCTTTGGCCTCTCATTGTGAGCAGTGAGAAGCGTGGCGCTCTCTCTAATGAGGAACAAGTTTTCTCTCCACTCTGCTTCCACACCAGTTACTTGCAGCCACGCTGAGCTACAACTGTTTTCTCAGTATCTAGTTTCCTGCATGACTGAGTTTCTGTTTCCCTCAGGAGAAGGTTCAACATTTCTACAGGAACACGCCCAAATTAGGATTTAGAGCAAACACACTTCCTGCCAGGCATCGCTGAGACTGTAAAAGGACACTTTCACCTTTGAAAGGGTGGTTTCTCAACACTATGATAAAACCCCATTGTTATGTTCTCATTTTTTTTTCTTTTCCTTCTTATACTTTTCGTCCTAACAGTCCCTCCAGTGAACGTAGCTTTCCTAGCCCTGCCTTTTCAGAGTTTTTTTTTCCTTTTTTTTCCTTCCCCCTCAGCACCTTCTTTAAGGCTAAAGCTCCATTTAAAATGGTATGCGTGATCCCTGGTATCAGCTTGAATCTCAAAGGAAGGATGAAAAGGAGCCTTCAATGGAGGTAGGCTTCATTACAGTTAGAACAAACGGTATTTCACTTCAATACTATGTCACGTTTCTCAGTGGGAGGGACTTAAAAGAATGGGAGAACATCTGGTTTACATGAGGCTGTGATGATGTCATCTTACATGTAGTTTTATAAAACAGTTGGCAGAGTAATACTTATGTTTTTACATTTTGGAATTAGTCTTACTGAGTAATAAGCATGATGAGTCCTCCTCTACACTTCAGATCAGATGTCAGTAGGTTAGAAGGAAATATAGATCGGCACTGGATCAATTTGCAGTGATCTTTCTGTGATTCTTCCAGATTCAAAGTGGCCTTTCAGTCTTGGGCACAGCTGCGGGGATCAGGGTGTATTGTATTGCTCATACTGGGGGTCAGTTATAAACAAGACTCTGGCAGACACTTAGAGACCAGTCCCAGGCCAGCAGAACTGACTCTCAATGCAACAGCCTGAGCACAACCTGGGGCAGAATGCCAGCAAGACAACGCTCTCCTCTGGGCCCCTGGGACTCCAGGACAGCGGACATTTATTGAGTATTTCCTATATGATGGTGGGTGCCAGGTGCTTTGCCAGGCACAGGCACATAAAGCTGCTCACAGTCTCCAGCAGGTGAGGAGACAGGAGAGAGACAATTCTAAATAAATGGATGCCATTCCATGTGATTGTAAAAGGCAAATAAAATCTTGGGATCACAAACTCACTATAACAAAAGGGGAAGTTAAGCTTGGAAACTGAGCCACACAAACAAAAACCATCTTTCCTTTTGTTTCTAAACAGCTGTCTCCCCAGGTGGTCTCCCTCACCTGGACAATGTAAATTAACAGCTTATTTTCACCAGTTGGAAACAAGAGCAGACTAGAAATTGTCCTACTGCTCACCCCCAGACCAATGCATACTGGACTTCTTCCACAACTCTGTTTACTGTATCTTATGTAAAGTGCAGATTTACTGCGCACAAGGCATACATAATTGAGGGCTCCTCTACCCTCCCCTTTGCACATGCAACATGTGGATTCAGTGCACACTAATCAAAGCCTCACAAGAAAGTAACCGTTTGTCGCATTTTTTCTACTCTCCTTTTTTTCTTTTCTCCTTCCTCTCCAGCTCAGTTTTCCCCCTTTAAATACTGAAACCCTCAAAACCCTCTTTGGAAAAAGTGCAGGCCACAGATCCTACTGTGGCTTGTGTCTCTTTTTCCCTCCCCAACCAGATGCATCCTCAACCTTAGCAAAATAAACCTCTAAATTGATTGAGATCTGTCTCAGGCATCCCTTTTGGTTCATAGGAGACAGATGCCAAAATCTACAGCAGAGGCTCAAAGGAGGTTGGGGCAACCTGGGGGGTTCTGAGATAGCTTATTTACAGAGGAGATGGTACTTCAGTTTGAGAGCAAGCATAGGGTGTGAGAAGATGTTCCAGGGACAGGGTACAGCAGGAATGCAGAGATGAATTCTGAGTTCACATTGGCTGGAGAAGAGACAGCAAGGAAGGCAGCGATGAGGAAGGTAGATGAGACAGAAAAGGGAGCAAGAGCAGAGAAAATGAAGAGCCTTGATGCCATGAAGGAGCTTAGAACTTACCCTACAGGTCAGTGTTTCCAAAACATGACAGTTCCTCAAAATCGTCTGGGAGCTTTGAAAAATACAGATTCTAACATTCCTCCCTCCAGACCTACTGAATTCATGTCTCTAGTAATAAGGATCTAGGATTCAGGTTTTTAAAATTCCCAGGTAGTTATTCTAACAGGTGGGCAAGAATCAGTAGAGTCAATAAGGAGGCCACTGAAGGTTTTAAGCACAGAGTATCCAAGCTTGCTTGTATATTTAAATGACAAGTTAGACAGCCTTACAGACCATATGTAAGATCTTTCAACATGATGAAAGAAACATCAGAAATCATTAAATAGTGCTAGAAAAAAATTGACTATTAAAAATATCATCCATCATACATCAAAAAAGCAACTATAGATTGAGTAGAGTTTACAGTAGTATTGCAGGGCCACTTATACATGGACACAGATGAATTCGGAACCATGTATTTGTAATGGCACCATTGTCCTTGGTGGACAGGTTCTCCCCAGCAATGCTTGGCTGCCTAGGAGCAGAAAAGTGTGAGGGTGGGTTCATCCAGGATTGCAGGCACGCTAGATGGGTGCAATGGATGGGAGGGGGTGGAGGAACTCAGAAGTCCTGGTAAGGATGTGTCTGAATTCATTTACCATCTGTCTGAGCTCGGAAAGAAGAAACGCTAAGTGGGGTTCAAGAGAGCAGCAGAACAGGAAGGAGGGGTCGACCTATTTTTCCTAGTCTCATCTCCCAACTTCCCAGTTCTGCAAGCTTGTTAAGTACTGAGAGCTTACGTTATCCATCATCATATTTCCAGGGCCCTCCCCTAAAGAAGTACTTGATACACGCTTGCTTGACTGGATGAAGGGAACTGGGGTCTGGCAAACTATAGCTTGTGTATTAGTCCGTTTTCATACTGCTATAAAGATGCTACCTGAAACTGGGTAATTTATGAACAAAAGAGGTTTAATTGGCTCACAGTTCCGCACGGCTGGAGAGGCCTTGGGAAACTTACAATCATGGCAGAAGGCAAAGGAGAGGTAAGCACCTTCTTCACAAGGCGGCAGGAGAATGAGCAAGCGCAGGGGAAACTACCACTTTGAAAACCATCAGATCTTGTGAGAACTCCCTCACTAGCATGAGAACAGCATGGGGAAACCACCCCCATGATCCAATCACCTCCCACAAGGTGCCTCCCTTGACACGTGCAGATTACAATTACGATGTGATTTGCATGGGGACGCGGAGTCAAACGATATCAGCTTGTCAGCCAAGGCCAGTCCACCACCTGTTTTTGTATGGTACTTGAGCTAACAAAGATTTTATATTTTTTAAGTGACTCAATAAAAATTAATAGCAATATTTTGTGACACATAATAACTATGTGAAATGAAACACAGTCATGCTCATTCATTTACATACTATGGTTGCTTCTGTTCTATAATGGCAGCTATGAGTACTTGCAACAGGAATTCTACGGCCTACAAAGCCAAATATATTCATTATCTTGCCCTTTACAAAAAAAAACATGTGCTGAGCTCTGAACTAAGGCATGGAGACATGAGCGAGAATATAAGTGGATCCGTCTAGTGTGGTCAGAATGAACTGTGTGCCTGTGTGCATGGTGGTGGTGCTTTTTTCAAACGGAGGAATAAAGTTATTTTCCTCTGTGATTTCACAGGTGCACGGGGACTCTAGTTTCTTACTAGCCTGTTACTTGGAATCTGAATGCAAGACTGCTTACTGTACCTTAGGAACTATGATGGTCTAACCCTGCCCAAGTGCTCACCTCCCAGCTCTTAGTTGTTGGCTCACTGAAGAAGTTGTCGATCATGTTCAGTTCTTCCTTCTCCACCACCACAAAGCCTTGCTCTTTGGCATCTTTCCCATACACATCAGGAGACCACTGAACAAAGAATGTGTACAAATGATCCACCCTGAAAAACACATTTGTGACAGACATTAACACCAAGTCTACTTTCTTGGCAGGTGCTAGTGCGGACTGCAGTACATAAACCATCTTTTCCCTGCTTGGCAAATCCATTTTACTAATTGGAAAATTTCCCACTTTCAAAGTTATCTCTACGAGTGGCCTTACATACTCAAAATTAAGAGCCAATAAATAAAGTAAAAGTCCACAGGCACTGCGAAACTGTTAAAACTGTCTTTCAATTTGACGGGAAGATCAAGACATGGAATGTAATACTGAAAAACACAATGAAATATTTATACCAAATATTTTTTCCTCATTGAGTCTTCATTTATTGGATACTTGTATTCATTGAGGAAAAAAATGTACATCTGAAGCTTTAGCTAGGAACAAAGATAAACAATACTACAAGGGGTCTTTATGTAGATCAAAGTACTATTGCATTGTAATTGTAATAAAACATCTTTGACAACTAGAAAATGTCAGGAATAATACTGGCTACTACTTTAATATTAGAAAGAAATCTAATTTTATTGATATGGGAATGTTCTTTGCTTCCAACTTCTCTGCTCTCTTATACATATTTACTGAATGAAGGTTCCAAAGTATCTCTCCAGGCTTAATCAATAGAAATATGCCCAGTTCCTAGGAAAAGAAAGAGAGCCGTGAAAACTGCAGCTCCAGAAATATCCTCCAAGGTTCATACTATAACCACTACAACAGGAGAAAGGGCGATGAATATAATCAAATGATTCTTAAAGTATTTTCTAATCACTAAATGATAATTTGAATTTGAGGCTACTGTTTGGGATAATGTTAACTTATGATTTTTAAAATTCATAATTATATAAAATTGTAATAATAATAGGACTAAAACAAAAACAGAAATACCACTGACAATTCTGATATCCTAACAGATCAAACCATTTTTAAGGTTTCTGCATTCCTATCTGTTCTTGACCACATGTGTACATCATTTATACAGCTTTCTTTTCATGGCAGTCAGAGCCAAGCCATAATTGTTGTATTTAACATTATATGATATACTTTTACCACGTTGCTAGTCCTTGTAGTCATGTTTAACAGCTACATTTCATGAAGTTAATAAACCATAATTAGCCTGTATTCCTATGCTGTCAGGATATTTAGTTTGTTTGTATTTCTTTAATTGTATGAATGATGTTACAGTAAATATCCATACAGTGTATGCCTTTCACTATGGTTTGAATTATTTCCTCAAGATTAGTTCCCAGAAAAGGGATTACTGGGCCAAGGGGCATGATTTTATCACTTGTAATTCATCCTGCCAAATGGCTCTTGAAAGGCTGACTAGTTTGCTGTGACATCAGCATTGCAGTTTGTGTCTTAAGTTTCATAACAACCTTGCTTATCCTTTTAGTTTATATAAAGTTTTACCAGAGTCCATCTGCATTCCTTTGAGTGTTAAGTGCTTGAACATTTTTCAAAATTTCCTTCCTGACTGTAGCTTTTCTTTCGTGAACTGGCTTTCTGTGATATGTGGTATCAATGTTTTTCTTTTTTTTTAGTTGGTGGGAGTCTTTAATGTAAGGTGAATATTAACAACTATCAAATGTGTTTCTGAGCTGTTGTTTCCCTTTTTATATTAATCATGTCTTTTCCCCCACAGTACAGACTTACCAATTTTCTTATACTTTAAAGGTGTATTTCTTTATAGAGTTCTCCTTCAAAACATGGACTGTTGTCACCTAAAACAAGGTGTGTATCAGTGTATATGACATGTTACCATTTCGATTACAAAAGTAAATATAGATATTGATAGATACTATGATTGTACATGGGTATGATGGTTATGTTTCAACTCGGTGTGGCCATCCATGGTACGCAGCTTTTGGTCAAACAGCAGCCTTGATGTTGCTATTAAGGTATTTGAAGATGTGATTAACATTTATATGAGTAGACTCTGAGAAGAGCAGATTACCCTCCATAATGTGGGGCCTCATTCAATCAGGCGAAGGCCTTAAGAGAAAATGACGAAATGACAGAGGTCTCTTAAAGAAGAAGGATTCTACCTTCAGACTTTCTTCAGACTTGATACTGCAACACCCACTCTTTCCCCAGTCTCCAGCCTGCCAGCCTGCCCTGAACATTTCAGACCTGCTAGCCCTTAACAATCGCATGAGCCAATTCTTTAAAATAGATCTCTATGTATAATACATATATTTTAGTTCTGTTTCTCTGGAGAACCTTGACTAATGTTATACAATAAACTACTCTGAAAGGTTATAAAAGAAACAGATCAAAATGGTTACTTATAGGGAATGGAATGGGGTGGGAGAAAGACATTTTATATTGTATATATATCTTTCTTTATATTATCTTAATATTTGGACTAGGTAGTACATTTATATGATTCAAACATCAAAATTATATTTTAAAAGGCATATATAAGTTTCCTTCTTACATCCCTGTCTACCCCAAGCCTCGTAGGTGACCACTTTATTCACTTCTTATATTTGTAGTATTATTTATGTAGATATAAATATGAATATATATATATTTTTTATCTTCTTATTATTTGTTGGGAAAAAGCTGAGTGTTGGGAGGGAAACTGAGGCAGGGCTTGCATAATGTCCTTTGGAATGTGTCCTAGACTTGCTGACTCCTTGCTTCTAGCTCTCCTAGGCTCCTATTCCCATTATCCCAAGTAGCAGAACATGTTCCATATAAACACTAAACCATCACAGCTGTAAATCATGTGCTTAATGCAGCAGGCTCTTTTGACCGCCACATTCTCACCACCTATTTCTTTGTTGGATTACCAATAAATACCGTGGGCTCCCAGAGCTCGGGGCCTTCGCAGCCTCTGTACAATAGTGATGGCCCCCTGGTGTCCCACCTTTTCCTCTTTTTCTCAATCCTTTGACTCCAATTAGGAGAAGGAAAAAAGGTAAATATATATACAGACTCTAAGGATGCTTACCTAGTCCTCCATGCCCACGCAGCAATATGGAGAGAAAGGGAATTCCTAACTTCTGAGGGAACACCTATCAAATATCAGGAAGTCTTTAGGCCCCCAAAATTCTCCTTACCTCTGAATCTACTTCCTCTGATCCCTGCCTAAAGATAATTTTATGGGGAAGAGGAGTTGCTTGTGTCTCTCCAGACGACAATCAGGTGACTGTGGGGGTGCCCACCAAACATCTGAAGATCTATGATAAGCCACAGCATCTAGTGGAGCCACCTGTACAGTGCGAACTGAAGGTTTGAAAAGCCTCGATTTGCTTTCCCTGTGCCTTCTGTTAATCAGAGAAGGCCTGTTTCTCATTATCAGTGGAAAGTTTTACCTCGCAGTAATTAACCAAAGAGGCAGAAACTAAGTTAAATGCATCAGCAACAGCATGCCTCCCGGCTACAACCACAGAAAGTTTTTGTTTCTGTTTCAGTGGATTTACTAACATGGGGGTGAGGGTATGCTTGTGTTTTTGCAGGAGATGAACGAACCATGTGGATGCCCTCAAGATGTGTATGACCATGGAACGGGAGACTGGAGGGACCCATGGATCCCAACCCCGGACCGGCTTCCTCTAGTACGAGTCATGAGCCAGCTGAATCTGAATGCGAAGATGGAACGAAGACCGACCAGAGTCACGATGCTTAATGGACCAACGCTTTCTGACTCAGCTCCTCTCTACCCTGAATACACGAGACCCTAATAGTTAGGAGTATCATCGCCCCTATTCAGCATGAAGAAGTTACAGAAGATGGACCTTCATCCTTCTGCAACCCCCAGGATTAAGGGTCCTCTTGTAAAAGGGAAAGAGGAGTTACGTGGGAAGCATTCAAACCAGAGCGACTCCAGTTTGAATAAGGGCTAAGAAAAATGAAGCTGGATCACCGACCGGCAATTAAGGGCTGCACAGCCTGTAATTGCCTTGCTCAATTAAAAGACGTCACCTCTTATGCTAGTAATAATGATGTCTTCTTTTTTACAAAAAAGAGAAGGGGGTATGTTGGGAAAAAGCTGAGTGTTGGGAGGGAAACTGAGGCAGGGCTTGCATAATGTCCTTTGGAATGTGTCTAGACTTGCTAGCTCCTTGCTTCTAGCCCTCCTAGGCATCTATTCCCATTATCTCAAGTAGAACATGTTCCATATAAATGCTAAACATCACAGCTGTAAATCATGTGCTTAATGTAATGTGCTCTTTTGACCACCACATTCTCAACACCTGTTTTTTTGTTGGATTACCAATAAACACCGTGGGCTCCTAGAGCTCAGGGCCTTCGCAGTCTCTATACGATAGCGATGGTCCCCTGGTGTCCCACCTTTTTCTCTCTCACTGTCTTTTTCTCAACCCTTTGACTCCACCGGACTTTGTCACCCCCACGACCTGGTGTTCGGTCTGATCACCCCAACATTATTCTTCATCTTGCTTTTTCACTTAATATATCCTAGATAGCTTCCACACCAGTATATAGACAGCTCCCTCATTCTTTATTTTACAGCTACACAGTACTTTACTAACTGGATTTATCATAGTTTACATAACCATTCTCTGGGTTGTTTCCAAGAGTGTACCATAACGAACAATGCTGTGATGAATTAAACCTGCACGTGACTCATTTCACATGTGAACAGGTAAAGCCACAGGACATTCTCAGAAGTACGACTGCATTGTAAAAGGAACAGCTCACTTGTCATTTTCACATATAACCTCACATTCCTCTGTATAGGGATTACATTATTTTTGCCCTCCCACCAGCTATCTCTCTCTCTAGAACTGCTGAACTATTTTCGTCGTGTAGAAAGAACTTCCCTATTAAAAGTTAACTTAGAAAACATGACATAAATAATCACTCCAGAGAGGTTTGATAAAGATACAATTATAAATCTCTTAGTTTTTTCAATACTTAAAAGTTTAGTCCATCTTAAATATGTTTTGAAGTAGAGTTGAGAAGCAACTCTGCTTCACTATAACTTTTGGAAAAGGAAATATATATTATGTACACAGTCACACTGGATAAAAT